TTGCAGCACACAAAATCTGTTACAGCAAGAACAGGTCACTTTCTGACCTTCAGTTCACCATAAAAGCTGCTGTTGCAGCACACAAAAGGTCCTCACGACCTACAGTTTTACAGGGATCAGCCAACCCCACAAAAAAGGAAAGAAAGAGGTGCTGGTCACCTCACATCCAATCAGCAGACCTAGTACAGGTTCTGCCCTGGCACATGACCAGAAAAAAGGAGAGAGAAAAGTTACTTCAGTGCGTGAGATCTTCAATCAGCTGAACAGCAGATGAGGGTGGCAGATCTGGCAATCTGGTGCAAAGAAAAACTGTTCACTCTACTTCTCCTTTCAGATCTGTTGGTCCCGCTCTGGTACCATGTTATGTAGGAGAGAAGAATGGAAGAAGAGAGAAGAGAGAGAGAGAAGAAGAGAGAAGAGTGAACTGAGAGCCAAAAAGGTACTGCTGGTGGCACCAGCTTTGATATATATACTAGGGCGACAGAACATAAAAAATAAAAGAAGAAAATTACAAGAGTACCCCTGCGGTACTATACTTAGACAAATAACAGTCCTTTAACATATCCAAATCTACCAGTCATGTCTGAATGCAATCTGGTTGAAGTCTAGGGAAGTTTAAAGTCTTTCTAGTGGACCATGAGCCCTGGAGGAAGAAGATACTTGATCCAGGCAATGGTTTTTTCTTATGTCTGCACATCGGGAACTGGTTTTTCTTATGTCTGTCCCGTACTTGTATAGATTATTCATGGGGAGATGTTCCCTATACAGGATGGGATGTGGCTGTGAGGTCGGTGTGAGGCGCGCTCTGTGAGGAGCAGATCCAAATTCGTGAGTGGGAAGCAATTCCAGCAGGGGGTCTGATAATTGTTTGGGATTCAAGCTCTCTTGTGGTTCAGGGGGTTTTGAAGGGTTCGTTCTCAGTGTCAATCCTGTTCCAAACTACTGAGAATCATTTCAACTGGGTTATGGCAGGAGTGTATGGGCCAACGGAAGATAGAAGAAGAGGGGAATTTTGGGCTGAATTGGATGGGATTAGAGAGAGTTGGGATTTTCCATGGGTAATCAGGGGTGGTAATAACAGGTGCAGGGGTAGACATGGCTTCTCACAGTTTATGAGGTGGGAGCTAGTGGATTTACCTTTAGTGAGGGCCAGGTATACCTGGACAAACAATCAGGAGGAACCTGTTTTAGAGAAATTGGACAGATTTGTAGTTTCTTCTGACTGGGAGGATAGTTTCTCAAATTTATCCCAAGAAGCACTGCTCCGTCCTCTATCAGACCACCCTCCAATTCTGTTGTACTGTAGAGGAATAGCTGCTATTAAAAATCCACCTTTCAGATTCGAACATGTGGCTGGAAGAGGAAGGTTTCCTGGATCAGAGTCAAAGGTGGTGGAAGGAATGCACAGTAACTGGAACAGAAAGCATGTTTTCTGTAAGAAACTCTCTAATGTAAAGTCAGAGTGAAATGGTGGAAGATGCAGGTTTTTAAAGGGTTAGAAGAGAAAAAAAGGATTCCCTCAGAAAAATAGTGGAGGAAGAGGAGAAACAAAGGAGGAAAAGGGCAAAATTAGAATTTGACAAACTGTGCTTCCAGGAACACAGCCTTCTTCCATAAAATGGCAAATGGAAGAAGAAGAACTAATACTATTAGGAAGAGGGGAGGTGATTGAAGGGTAAGGAAGGATCAGGCAAACAGTTACAAATTACCATAAAGACCTCTATAATGAAAGGTTGATGAGGAGGCCAAAGATGGATGGGTTGCCTTTTAAGTGTCCTTCTCAAGAAGAGGCCAGTCAATAGTCAATTGGAGTAAGATTTTACGGAAGACGGGAAGAGGAAGTAAGAATTGCAATCGAAGAAATAGAAGGTGACAAAGCAGCAGGGCTGGATGGATTCACAATGGACTTTTTTAAAAGGATCTAGAGCTTCATAAAGGAGGATCTAATGAAGGTGTTCCAGGAGTTCCACCAGAATGGGGCATTCGAAAGAAGTCTGAACTCTACTTTTTTGCTTTGATCCCCAAGAAGAAAGGGGCAGCAGGATTGAAAGATTTCAGGCCAATAAGCATTGTTAGCAGTGTGTATAAAGTGCTAGTGAAGGTGTTGTCTAAAAGAATGAAAGGTTTAATGGGTAAATTAATATCAGAGTCTCAAGGGGCATTTGTAGATGGGAGGCAAATTACTGATGGAGTTCTAGTGGCAAATGAGCTTGTTGACTCTAAGAGAAGAAGTGGAGAGGAAGGGGTGCTGCTTAAAGTTGATATCGAAAAGCTGTATACCATATAAATTAGGATTTTTTGGACAACATGCTTCAAAGGTTCAATTTTGGTAGGAGGTGGAGAAATTGGATAAAGGTGTTTGTATCTACAGCTAGATTTTTCTATTCTGGTAAATGGTGTTCTAGTAGGCAGATTTCAGAGTTCTAGGGGATTAAGACAAGGTTATCCCCTCTCACCTTTGTTGTTTATTTGTGTATCGGAAGCCCTAAGCATAATGGTGAATAAGGCGGTGGAAGGAGGTTTCCTCGAAGGTTGTAAGGTGGGAGAGGAAGTGGAGGTAGCATTGCTACAGTATGCAGATGATACTATCTTTTTTGCCAATGCTTCACAAGAACAATCGGAAATAATCAGAATGATACTAATACGGTTTGGAGTAGTCTCTGGTCTTAAAGTTAACATGCATAAAAGTGAACTAATGGCAGTGGGGGCTGGTCTTAACCTGGAAGTGTTGGCGGATATAGTGGGCTGCAAATTTGGGAAATTGCCTTCAAAGTATTTGGGGATGCTGCTTGGAGAAAAATGCATTTCTAAGAAGATTTGGGAACTGGCGGTGGAAAGAATGGAGAGGAAAGTAGCCCCTTGGAAATCGAGATGTTTATTGAAAGGAAGAAAACTAACACTAATAAAAAGTGTATTGGCTTCTCTCCCCACTTACTTCCCTATTCTGGCCAGTATAGCCAAGATTTTGTAGAAGACAATGAGAGATTTTCTGTGCAGGGATGGAGGGATGAGTTTAAATTTCACTTAGTCAATTGGAGTAAAGTATACAGGTCAAGAAAGGTCAGAGGTTTAGGGATAAGGAACCTAAGAAAGTTCAACTTGGCCTGTCCAGGGAAATGGTGTTGGATGTGGAATGAACAGTCCACAAACCAGTGGAGAAGAGTTATAGAGGCTAGATATGGTTCAAGGAACTCAAACGGGGAACCAGGGAATCAAGTCTCCCCTATGGTTGTGCAGTCTGGAGCAGCACACAGAAATCAGTAAAGGAATTCAAGCAAGGAATAAAGATGGAACTAGGAGATGGGTCAAGAATCAGCATTTGGCAGGAGGTTTGGCACGGGGATAGCCCTCTTAAGGACAGACTCCCAACTATTTCTGAAATTGCTCTCAACAAGGATTGTTTGGTGTTGGAGGTGTTCTCTCAGGGAGGCGGGGTGGGAGTTTGGTGTCCCATTTTCAAAAGGAACCTAAACAATTGGCAAGTGGAGCAATGGGAAGACTTAATGCAGATCCTGAATACAGTAAGGGAGGATAGCACAAGGAGGAATAAGAGGATTTGGTTAGGGGAGAAATCTGGAATTTTCACAGTCAAATCTTTTTATAACAGACTGTAATGATGAGGAGGCTTCTTTCCCCAAAGACAGGGTCTGGAGATTGGTGGCTCCCCTAAAAGTCTCTTTCCATTTGTGGGTGACAGCTTTGGGGAGGTGCCTAACAGTGGACAATTTATCAAAGACAGGACTGGAGGTAGAGCCCAGCAGATGTGTTCTGTTCGGCAAAAGTTCTGAGCTGGAACATCTCTTTCTGCATTGTAGCTTCAGTTGGGAAATGTGAATGAAACTACTAAAAATGTTTGGAGTTCAACTGTGTTTCCCAAGGGATGTATAGGCACTGTTAAAGAGCAGGTTTTCTGAGTGGTTTGTCGAGGAGAGGTATGATTGTATGGAAGGTGGTTCCAGTGGCAGTGGTGTGGTCAATTTGGATAGAAAGAAACAGGAGACTATTTGAAGACAGGTTTAGTTCAGAGGTAGTTTTAATGAGCATTTGGGGAAGGTTATACTCTTGGGTGGCGTCCTTACAGCTCTTTTTTTGAGTGCAGCATTCTTTTTGTATGAGTTTGAAATAGCGGTTTTTTGGGATGTATAAAGTTTTTCCTGCCTTCCCTAGTGCCTTGTTAGACAAGGCTGTATTCATGGACAGTTTGCTTAATGAAAACTTTACCTTTTCCCTCAAAAAAAAATTCTAGTTTAATTTTGTCTTGGGTTTTTACTTTATTCTGCTTCAGGTCTTATTGTACTTAATTTGTAATGCAATCAAACAAAATAAGGTAAATTTTGAAACAAAAATAAATCAGAATTGCCACCCAACTCATTTGCACTACCATAATTTTGCATCAGTATAAATAAATTTGCACTGCAAATGCAGTCTTGGTTTTTTTTTTTTTTTGACTTATAAATTTCTGCTTCCTTCTTATGATCTTATCTATGAAATTCTACACTTCAATGCCTATGACTAGAATTCCATCTCTTCATGGCCATTTGAATGGAGTGTTATCAAGCTATTGGATAAAAGTTGACAAACAGAAGAAAAAGAAAAAGCATCAAGAAAGCCAGTCCAACTTCCTAACAAGAGATGTATTGTTGAAGTTTAAGAATTGGTATTATCCTAATTGATTTGTTTAACTATGGCACGTGTGGAATTAAAACACAGTACATTATTGGTTAAGAACCTGAAAGATTATCAACACCCAACTCTTCCAAATGACAAAATATGGATGATAATTGACTACTAGTTCCAATATCTTGCCCAAATTCTTCCAATTATCATATTTTGTTTTGAAGATTAATATATTTTCTAAACCCAAAGCCACTATTCAATGGGAAACTACCAATGTTGAGTGAATTGTCTGGATTAAAGTATGCTTACTGTGTAATGTTAATATAAATAATCAGTTTGACACAATCCCTTCTGATTTTGTCAATGGCCCCGCTGGTTTACAGGTCCTGTCTTTGGATAATAATCCATTCAACTTGAGAACTAGATGGTATGTTCCTACTGAGTTGTAGAATTCACCTTAGGCTGTGTTTGGTTGCAGCGCAAATTTATTTGCACTAGTACAAATGCATGGGAGTGCAAATATAAAAAATGCAAATTCTTGTTTAATCTTGTTTTGGATTTTACTTTATTCTGCTTTATGTCTTAATTTACTTAATTTGTACTGCAATCAAACAAAATAAGCTAAAATTTGAAACAAAAATAGGTCAATTTATTCTCAAATCATTTGTACTGCATGGTTTTGCATCAGTGCAAATTTATTTGCATTGCAACCAAACACGGCCTTAGTTAACCAATCTGTCTTTAATGGGGTGCAATTTGGTTGGCTCTGTATCAGACTTCCTAGGTTCATTTCTGTGCAGTTGCTGATTCTGTGGCTGAGTATTCAGAATGGTGGAAGATGACCGGACCAATAGATGTAATTGGGAACCTTTATTCACTGACACAGATATAGCTACATGAAAATGAATTCACTGGGATGATTACAGAGATCATTGGACAATTGTTTTCTTTGACAGATCTCAAACTCAACTGTAATCAACATGTGTGTGATTGCCACGAGCACGAAAGTATGCAACTTCAGAATTTAGATTTCAACAATAACATGTTGATGAGTCCAATGCCAGACTTATGTTTTAATAATTTCAGTTATGATGGAAATTTTTTGTCTTTGACTGTCTTAAAATATTTGAAACATTCTTAACTTCTATTGCTAAATTTAATGAAAGTGTGAAGGTTGTTTCAGATGGAAATCCTCTATTTCAACAGTAACCAATTTGCCACACCTTCCTCGGTTTAGTAATTCATTGTCATCAGGGACTTTGTGTTCTCCATCCAGCAACCCTTGTCCAACCAAGGGCTCAGAATCTAATTCTGATGTTCCCAGTGAAGAATAATCCAAGCCAACAGGTTTATGGCGAACTTAATCCTGGTATTAAGTTTTCAAGAAGAAAATATTACAGACATAAGGGTTCTCTTACTGTTTCTCCCATGCAAAGCTATTTGAAATTTTGAATCATAGAAAAGAAGGCATTGGTATTGCAATCTTTACTCATTTTCTCATTTTGATGCAAGTCCAATACAGCTCACTGCTCACTAAAGACTCTTCTTATTTTGTAGGTAATGAAAGCTTCAAGAATGCAAGGGATTTACCAGATATTATTCATGATGTAAGTTTCTAAATTGACCCTCTGAAATGATAATTAGTTGGGTATTTAGGAACAGTGGCACATAATGGAGGCTTTGTTAACAGTGAGCTCGTAAATCCTCATTTTATACATTACTTTCCTATTTTGCAGTTGGAAACTGACAAGTGTGAGTTTTGTATCATAGCATGGCATGAGAACAATGGTCAGTTTCATTTTGGTCATCTTCCGGAATGTTATTCTTAGCAAAATAAAAGAGAGGGAGAGAGAGGGAGAGAGAGGTGTCAAAATTTTGTTTAAGTTCTCTTGGTTACACTGGTAAACATATGGTCCAAACATCCTAGAAGGTTAAATTGTAAGTTAAGCAAAGAAAATTTATGTACCGTACTAAAATATAAGGATTAAAAAGCTGTTTAGACCAAGAAAAGTTGATGTTTTCCTGTAACATTATTTAAGAGTTGGAGCTTGGTGTATATGTAGGAAGGGCTAGCTGCAACATTAACCAATGAAACTTTGGAGCATGATACACGTAAATTACAACAAAATATAACAACCAAATGTTTACATTAGTTTATAGGTGAAAATTGTAAGATCAACTTTTTCGACCACCGTATTTTTTTTTTTTTTGTTTTTTTGATAAGCGACCAACATAAAAATTTTCAAATCTGACAGTTAATCCAATTAAAAAGTAAAATTTCAAAAAGTCCTATACACTGTGCTCTTGTAGATTATGTAATATTATAGACTTTGTAGTTGACAATCATCTTCCTACCTTTGTATACAGGTGGCATGCAGTATTTTTGTGGTGTCCATTAGCAAGGAACTTACACGCCACCAGTACTGTATATGTGATCAATCCAGTTATGATCCAAAAAAACGGTAAAAAACTAAGACTGGAGACCAATCTTATAATATTAGGGTTTGTATGACCAACACGATCTCAAATCATTCTAGCCTTATTCAACCAATTGATGTCAGAATATCTTAAAAAATAAAGTAAATTAAATACCAGGATTACATTTCCGGTCTGCTTCAGCAGTTGATTGAATGAGTTGGATTAAACAGCTAGTTAGATAAATCAAATCTCGATTTAGTGCATTAGGGCTGCTCCAAGTTTTTTTTTTTTTTTTTGATAGAAGGGATGCTCCAAGTTTAAATACATAATTTTGGACCTTGTTTTCTGAATTTTAAAACATTAGAAAAAGGAGCACTTCACAAATCAATGGGAGAGAATTCTTTTTGTTGATTCTGTAAATGAGTTAATAGTAGATGCATCTTATACGAATTCACATCTGAGTGTGCATTGGGAACATCACCTTGTCATTGGGAGATGTTCCCAATGCACGGTTTGGATGTGCTTTGGGGCGTCTGTGGGGCACAGATGTGATCTCAACTTATACAGTCGGTTTATTTCTTGTATAGTTTTTCTGGCATGTGTGGTCTGGATGCATTCCTTTTATAATTACTTTGAGGGAATCTCTCCCTCCTTTGAGTAATCCAATATACCTTATTCATTAAAAAAAGAAAAATGGTCCATTCTAAGAGCCATTGCTTGGTTAGGGTGGTAAAATGAATCTCCAGATGACAGGTTGAGAACAGAAGGATTCAAGTTTCAGAGCGTCCACTTCATCTAAATATACAAGACCTGTAGTCGGTAAATTCCTCCCAAACGGCAAATAGACAGGATCATAATTGGGAAATGGTGTTTACAGACCATCGAGCCTCTTCCATGTGTGGTGTGGTTAATGAACATGAAACAGGTAAATTTATTCTTACATCATGTATGGTTCTTGAATACGACAATTATCAATTGCTTTTTTAGTGTTCAATCTCATGTTAACGTTGGCATGTCAATTGATTATGACATTATTGGTTATGGCATATCCCTCTATGCGCATTGAGAAGTTTTCAATTTGATGGCTCTCTTGAGAATGTATGCCATCATATGCCTGTGGCTGATGGCAAAACAATATGACCTGTACGGATGTACCCTCGTTCCCTTAACATCCTTGTCAGTGGAGAACGCTTATGTCATCAGATTTCTGGTAGTGACTATCCATTGGAGTCATTCCTGTCTAGGGGTGCAAGTTGGGCGGGTTGGGCCGGGTTTATGGTCATCCCAGGCCCGGTCCTAAAATTTGGGCTCAAGGCCTGAGCCCAGTCCAAACTCGAGTCAAGCCCGATTTTCCCAACCCGAGCCCAGCCTTGTTCTGTAATTTGATGCACTCGGATAGGGCTTATATTATATAAATGTAATTATCCGAATATATACACATATTTATGAATGTATGGAAATATGTATGCAAAATATCTATACAAATATGTATGTATATATATGTAAATATGTATGCAACATTTACATGTATACACATATATGTATAAATGTATATGATTGCATTGGGTTTGGGCTATCTAAGGGCTAGGCCTGAGCCCAGCCTGAAAAATAAAAATGCCTGACTTCTTGGGCCTGAGCCCAACCCGAGGACCGAAAATCCAAGTCCACCCATGTGAAATTTCGGGTTGGGCCAGTTCAGGCTTGGGCTGGGTTGGCCCAAGTTGCACCCCTATTCCGCCTTGGATTATGGAAATAGTTATCTTAAGAGATTCTACAATGTGGGGCCCCTCAAGGGACAAAGGGTGCTTGACACATCTTCCTTGTATATGTTTCCTCCACTCTTTTATCGCTTATTAAGAAAAATGAACAGATGCTAATCATAAACAAATGTTGGGCCCTCTTAAACTCTCATCTTGTCTAAGTTGAAGATCAGAACCCACTATCATACGAGTCCAGGTGGTCGGTGTAACAAATTCTGATAAATCAACTAGAAAGACACATCAGCCAAACGTGTGTGGAGAGTAAACTCTTTACCTTTTTTTTTTGGTATTATAACTTCCCCTTGACCCCCTTTTTCCCTAAGTACTAGTTGTGGGATTTAATTTTGCGTTAACGCTAGAACAAACCAGATAACACACCAACGAGCTAACCTTGGGTTGGTGACTCTTTACCTATGTCTTCCGAGGATATGGGAAGTCTTGATTTTTTTGGGCTGAATGTGTCATGTGCCCATAACAAAGGTGACAATCGATATCTATATACTTGGTTGCTCATGGAAGACCGGATTTGCAACAATATGGATGGTCACTTTGCTATCACAATAAAGAACCCTTGGAGTAGATAGGGAGATGGTGATAACAATTAGTACACGTTTGAGCCATGGCATGGTATTCTTAGAGGTGTAAGGTGGGCTGTGTCATGCTGGCACAGCACGATTTTTTGGGCCGCTCATGCTTTAGTGGGCCATGCTGTGCCAGTGCACTAGCCTGGGTGGGTTGTGCTTGCCTAGCCCAAAACCTTCAAATGTCAAGCTTGGCACAGCCTGTGGCACGAGCCTAAGGCCCTAAGCAAGCCTGTGTCAGGTTGGGCCAGGCTGTGGGTCGGGACCATGAGGGACATATTTTAAAAAAGTAAAAAATAATGAAAATTAAAAATAAATAAACAAGAAATTGAAAAAAAATCTTAGAATTTTATTTTATATGAATTTTGCTGTATACAATTGCTTATATATGAACTATGAAGTAATAAAATGAAATTAAAAAAAATTACAATGCAATGGGAATAAACTAGTATAATATATACCATGTAGGGCAAAGCCACTAGTGGAGGATAGAAACAACTGATGAGAAAGTGTGACATTGAGATATTGGACCACCTGTAGAGTTATAAGATGCTCTTGTTATGGTGATTGTAGATGTTGGTTGAGAACATGGACCGCAAAGCAAAGTTTTAGTCATGTCACTTAAAGATAAACTAGGCATCCAACAAGCTGCTTGTATTGTGTTGGATGGCTTGCAACCCGTCATGCTTGATTTAGTTATGATATCCTAAATATAATTTTGTTGGCCAAGAAAAATGCCATCAGGAGTTCCAGTTAACTTAACGCCTAAGAAGAATTGTAATGGGCCCAAATCTTTTTGTTTGGAAACAAGTGTTGATGTAAGACTTCAAAGAAGAGTTATGATTGGGTCATCACCTGTTATGATCTATGATGATCAGGTCATCTATATAAACCAACACTACAATGTATAACTTGGATTTGTCTAAAACAAAGACGGAGTAGTCAGCTACAAATGAAATTCATAATCAAGTAATGCTTAAATGAGCTTGGCAAACCATTGGCGTGAAGCTTGTTTCAGATCATAAAGAGATTTGTTGAGCCGGCACACTTTATGATCATGAGAAAAATAAACCAGAGGAGTCATATAGATTTCTTCATGAAGATCATCATAGAGGAAGGCATTGTTGACGTCAAGTTATAATAACCAATTTTGCCATAGGTGCAAAAGTATCATGATAATCTAGGTCCTCGACTTGGGTGTAACCTTTGGCAACAAATTGAAATTTTCAATTGAACCATCAGCTTTAAACTTGGTGTGGTATATCCACTTACACCCAATGGCCCATTTCCCAGATGAAAAATCAACAAGTGTCCAAATATGATTACGCTCAAGAGCATCAAGTTTATGTTTCATAGCCTACTGCCATTTTGGGTTTATGGCAACTTGAGCATAGGAATGAGGTTCAAAGGGGGTTGATAAAGAGCTGAAAAGAGCATGGTGGAAGCTAGACATTTCATAGACAAAGTTAAATGAGTAGGTGGTCACCCAGTCTGAGTAGGCTTGGGGATGTGACTAAAATCTAATGGTTTAGGTTTAATGGTGGGAGGTCAGCCAGTTCAAGGGTCGTCAGTTCAAGCTTAGTCATGGGCTGCCCAGATTCAGGGTTTGGAGTGGGCCTAGGTTGTGGAAGAGTTAGTGAAGCTAAATAGGTGGGGTAGATAGAAATCACTCATCAGCCATAGGTAATGGCAGGGTTACATGTCGATCACCAAGGGGTTCAGTCGAGGATTAGAATGGGCTCATGAAAGACAACAAGATAAAATTTTCTTTTTAGCTACACACACATTAATATATTGTGTGGGGGAATATTATAAAATATGGAGTGAAATGCTCTTGCAACAAATTTATCAAGGGGGTGAGGCCCAAGCTACACAAAGGGTGATTTATTAGACATCAATGGTGTGGACATACGGTGGATGACAAAATTTGTTGTACGCATTCACCCGAAAAATTTAGGGCAAATTGTAAAGACCCCCCTGTATTTTGTTTTGCGACAAAAACCCCTCTGTACTATGACCGTGAGACAAAGACTTCCTTCCGTTAGTCTTTTGTCCAAAAAAGCCATTATAATATTTTTTAATCCCCATACTACCCTTGTAATAACTAGAGGAGAAAAACAGTGTTCATCTTCCCCGACCTTTTGGTACTACCATTCCGTTACTTCACATTTCTCTCTCTCTCTCCCTCTCTCTCCTCTCTCTCCCCCGATCTCTCTTCTTGCCCTTCCCCTTAACAGCATCGGGATCGAACCCATTTAATTCAATCCCGATCTCTCTCTCCATTGAGGTGGGGTTTCGACACCTTGTGGAGCTCTGGAAACCAATTAACAAAATACATCTCTTCATTGCTTCTCTTCTGTGAAACCATTTACAGAAGATATGTGATTTTGGCGTATGTAGTCCATGAGTCCAACCACGATGTGATGCCGGCTACGGCTCGTGGACTCAGCTGATCGCTGAATTCCCCCATATTGAATCCTTAAGAGAAAGATTTGCCAAGTTTATCGATTGTAGCCTCAGCTGATCGCTGAATTGCCAGAACGACTACTGATTGTTCTCCATTTTTCTCCTTTGATGATTCAAAGATATTTGAGCAGAGAGGGAGAGGGAGTCTCTCAAAGAAACCATTCAACCTAAAAGCTTAAGCTGTTAGGTGAGGTCCTTGAATATGTTCATATTCTCTAACATGCCCCCTCACATGAAAGTCCATTGGACTTGAAGTGTGAACAAGCACAGGCCCACCCATACCCTTTGCTGAAACTTAATTAATTATAATGGGGGTACTGAGGATCGAACACTAGACCACTTGGTCAAAGTGGCTCTGATACCATCTCAAAGAAACCATTC